CTAACAGCCATGAGATTAAGAGTGTGATCGGAGAGTTTTTGTGTTCTTCTGCGGTGGGTCTTGCAGAACTTAGCTCCGACCGCATGGACAGTTTCCACGAGCTTGTCATTCATATCGTCCACTGCATTGCAATCTTGTAGGCACTGAAAGCGGTTTTGTAACTCGAGATATATTTAAAATGTAACATTGGGTTTGTGTAATTACTAAATTACTAATTACTATAAAGCTCATATCATTTTTGCATGCCAATTATGGCAAAACATGTAAGTTCCACGTCATTGATCATCTTATGTACCATGTTTTTAAGCAAATAAATTTTCTATCTATCTATCTATCTATCTTCTTTTGAACTTGATATCTTTTTAAATTATTAACATAATTTTGTATTGCAAGAAGACGACACAGCGCGGACGCTGTAATTATTTCGACGTCTGCCATAGTCGAAAGCCGAAAGTGATGTGAGTGGTAGGGCAGAGTGTAAATACACACTTCCCGCGATCCTGCTACGGTAGTATTTAGCGAAGTATTGCCGGCAGCGCGAGGAGCAGTGGCAGGGGCTGAATGTAAATGAGGCTTATGGGCCGCAGCAACCACTTACCATCAGGTGGACTGTGTGCTCGTTTGTCACCCTATCCTATATAAAAAAGGCAGAATGTTTGTCACTGCAGTTTAATTTTAAAAAAAGTTGTAAAACTTTAGCGTTGTAATATTTATATTTTTAGTCAAATGTGTAGTTAGCTAATGTGTGTTTAAATATATGTATACGGATAGACATTTAACATATTACTGCTGGAAACATACTCAATGGTATCATTAAACAAATATATCCATAAAAGGTGACGGCAACGTGTATGTGTTACACCGCACGCAAACATACACATGGTAGGCATTATGTACAAATAACATTTATGCAAGCGACCGTAGCATGGACAGAATCGGCATAATGCGGCACTTCTAACCGCCCAAACATGCATATTAGATGTTGGGGTTTAATTGCGCGGCAGTGTTCGGCCCGGATAGTGCTCCTAGTTCTATCGTTTCCCATTAATTGATGCTATAGCGTTTAAATTAATCACGGAGATAGTGCGGCGGGAACGGTCTTTGTGTTCTTATGTAGCTACATATGTGTTACCGGCATAATCGGGCGATTGGCGCACAATTCGCCCATACACAAGTGCTCAATGCCTTTGTATGCCTGTTCTATTATATAGAAAATTAAGACGTATACATTGTAAGTATCTCTAATACAAAAATCTATTGCTGTCCTTTAGTCTTGCTAAACTCGAAAATGGCTCGACCGATTTCGATGATCTTTTTGTATTTGCGTGGGTCAATGGATGGTTTAAAAACTCAACTTTCGTCAATATATTGGGGCAATGCGGCAGACCTCCTTGCCCTAATGCTTCTCACCAGACTATTACTGTACTTTACCCCTTTTTTAACTGATTTCTAAAAAGAGGAGGTTCTCAATTCGACTGTATTTTTTCTCCGTGTGTTACCTCAGAACTTTTTTCCAGGTGAACCGATTTTGATGATTCTTTTTTTTTTTTTTTTTGAAAGCTGTTCGACTACATTGATGACGACGCTCATTTTATTTATACTGAAGTCGGTTGGTACAAAATTTATAATTTTACCACTGGTTGTCAAGATGAGCCATAAAAATCTTCTATTTCCGCTATGGATTCGACGTTACAGCAACGCTTGACAGATAGTTTGACTGTCGCAGTCAGAGTTATTACTAGCATATAAGAGAGTCCTAAAATAAGAACAAAATTCTTATAGCTGAAGTCTTTATACATATGACGTTTAACATAGTACAAAATATGATAGCTTTATTATTCTCACCTTCTTTCTTTTACAAGGTGGTTGCCGTTTTTTCATTCCATGGACACCTCTATTGATGTGCCATTAGCGAAACAAAAAATGTTGTCGATAAATTAATTTAGTCCATGACCTAGTAAAATTGAAGATTTTTATTAATCCGGTTCGTTGTACTTATTTATATCAACGAAAGTTTATGGAAACTTCATCTGACATCTCAAAAGGACAAATGTAAGTAACATTTATCCTCGATTAAGAATCAAATACAGATGCGTTGTCACCCCTGAGGACTAACATGGAATGCCTCGTTTCCAGTTAAAAAGGTCACCGGTTCTCTACACTCACCATTCAAAACCCAGCAGCCTTAAGTTGCCATTTCACGCTGGTATTCAGAGAGAGCGTGGTCCTACCCCGATCAAGAAGACCCATTACTACTAGACATACTACAACTATTATAGCTCTTACGCTGGCTTTACCACGTAAAGTATGTAGTATAGTGATATAACGGAGGCACGACCGCCTTCTATTTTGTCGCTAGATCACAATTACCAATAACAAATATACACAGCATTATCAAAATCCTGTCTTACCTTCATGATTTAGAAATATCCAAGCTGACTAAGCTTTTTAAATATAATCGATGGTTTATATTTTCCGCCAAGCAAGTGGTAAATCTATATATATAAAAATCGATTACCGCATGTATGAAAGATCATCACTTAAGAAAGGCTGGACAGATTTCGATGAACTCTCACACTTATAATTGTACTCGGTAAGTGGCATTTTTGTCGAGATCTAGAAAACAGTGGTGAAAAGCCAGGCGGAATGTTAGTCAGTATATAAAATTGGGATTACAAATAGGATCCAACTCGCTCATGTAACGCGTTTTTAAAGTATGCGAAACGAATATTTGAAATGTAATATAATAATCATTATCAATTGATTTAGAAAACAATTTATTTCAATATTTTCAGGCATATAAAGTAATAAAAATAAATAACTAAACAAAAACGAATATATCGATGTCGATTGTTGCTAACATTGCGAACTAAATCACAGATTATATGACGTAATATCTTGTACAATAATGTCATACGTAATCCTGCCACAATATGGATGTCATTTTTCTATTAAGTCAGAATATACGAGTAAATTTACTCTCATATTTGGCATAGTATAGAGAGCAAAGATCACCACTTGACATTTCTATTGCCACGCGTGAATTACACGCAACATCTTTCTTATTAGAAAAAGCGAGACAAGTATACCAACTCAATTTATGTAGAATTGTAGGTTCTCTATGCATACGTATGTATGTAATTACTCTAAGGTTACGTTTCTCGAACTTTCAGTGCAGCTGTCGCGTTTTTATTTATTCAAGTTTATATATTATTCTATAGTAAGTGTTTATAGTCTGTACTATTAAAGTCGAAATAAATTTTTGAAATGCTAAAAGAACTAAAAAGGAATAATTATAGCTTTTAACAAAAAGTAAAAATCTACTTCAAATTGATAAAAAATAACTTATTTATTTGAAACCCTTAGGGGTATATTTTTTTCTCCAAATTTACATGGGACCTTTACTTGAAATATTAACTATTTAAGAAAAAAAGGATCAAATTAAAATCGGTTCTTTATCTGCGAAGATATATAAAATTCCCTAAATAACAGTCCACTATGAAACTGTCCTTTTTTCCCTATTTTCCACCCTTGGTGGCGGAATTTTTTCTTCAAAATTTAATCAGATCACCCTTGAGGTATGGCCTATTTAATAAAATAAATTTAAATCAGTTCACAATCTGCGAAGATATCGCGTAACATACAGACAAAACATACGCTCGAATTGAGAACCTCGTCCCTTTTTAAGGCGGTGAAGAATAATTTCCACGTAATAAGGAAGTTTCTGAAGTTAGGGGCTTCAATTTTTTGATACACCATGTGTTAGCACCGATTTCAGAGGTTATTATGTGCAAATTATTTAATTATTTTTAATTCTTAGAAGTCTGTGTCATGACCTACTGTTTTTTTTATTGAAACTAGTTTAAACGAGAATTATTCAACTTATATTAAACTATATCGATCTATTTATGAACATAATATGTTGTTTCATACATTAATTATTGTTACAACAATCATTCACACGCCTTTTATTGTACTTACAAATGTTAGTCATGAATTAAATTAACCTTACCTTTACAAGATTATCATATTATGTAGGCTAATATATAATTAGGAAATTGGTAGACACGTGTGGGGGTTGACCTGAAGGGTGTGTAGGCTTGGGTACGTCAGCGCCGACAGCTCGTGCAATATTCATCGAGCACTTTACAGCCGCACCTGAAGTCGTCCCGACCTCCATTATACCTGAACCCATGTTCTGCTCCCTGAGATTACTGAACACGATATTTTCGTGATTAATATATTGACTTTTTTATCGTTTGCTCTCTGTTAGTTAAAGAATGTAAACGATACGTGATCCTATCACAGATTACTACACTACGACTTAAAAAACGAGTCGCTTATAAAATTTACTGGTCGTATTTAGTTTCGTTCGATATATTTTTAATAGAAAATGCGGTTGGACAAACGAAGACTATAAAAATGGTGACTCACAACTCAATGGCATGTAAATATGCGTTTTATACAAAAATATTAATAAACAAAATCTGCAAAAGTTATAAAGAAAACTCTCAGAACACTTCTAGCTCACAAATTAGCGAAACCGGATTGATTTATAAGTATTTGTAGTTTATGGCATTTTATCTTTGCTCAATCATCAAATCCATTTCTCTTTTGTGCCTTTGCCTTTTATAACATGTTATATATATCCTGCTGAACAAACAAAAACATGTTTGAGTCTTTTTCTTATGTTCTTTTTTTTTTAGAACACTCCCAAGATGTTTTTCATAACATCCACTGCCGAACGAAGACCTCCCTAAAGATTGCCTCATTGCGAGGATTTTGCCTTGGCAAGCGAGTTCACAACCGCATTTTTTTATTAGTTTGGAGTGTTATCAAGAATATGCTGCTGCCGATCTCCAATTCCAGTTTCCGGTGGCCTCTTACGACACCCACGACACGTTTTGGGGTAATGGATATTGTTACACCGTGCCCACGCGGTACTAGAATGTATTTGTTAAATTCAATAACGTTATTCTTATCAAACCGGTTGTTCACAGGTATCAGTTCAGCGGAAGAGAGACATGTGAGTACAAATTATCATAACATTACACTCCATGTTTATTTTATAAATATAATAGCATTTAAAGGATCAACTCGAATAGGGAAGGCCCGTGATTTTTCAGATAAAATCGTTTTGACCAATCAACATTTTACATAATTGATATAATGTCAATTATAACCAGTTATTTGCAAATACCTTATACAACTAAATTCTCAAGGGTGTCTGTACAGAAAAAATAATTTTTTAATAGGATAGGGTGACAAACGAGCACACAGTCCACGTGCTGGTGAGTGGTTGCTGTGGCCCATAGACATCTACATCTATCCTCGATCACGAATCAAAATGCAGATGAGCGTCACCCGTGAGGACTAAGATGGAATGCCTCGTTTCCAGTAAAAAGGGTCTCCGGTTTTCTACATTCACCATACGAAACACAGCAGCATTAAGCTACTATTTCACGCTGGTATTCTGTGAGAGCGTGGTCCTTCCCCGGTCGAGCCGACCCATTCGTGCTACAACTTTACTTCCAATATAATTACAGCATGGCTCTACTACGTATAAAATTACAATCAGGCTTACCGATCGAACTTTGTTTGGATCGAATTCACATCAGGTTACAAAAAAAAAGTTATAAAATTTTCATTACAAAAACACTCCTAATCATACTCATAACATTACCGATACATCCTTTTAAAGTCCACTGTTGATCATATGCCTCCCCATTGATTGCCCCAAGCGGGTTGGCTACCGCAATATTTTTTTGAGTCCTTATTAGAAAGTAGGTGCTGCCATCGCCTGATTTGTTCACCTCTATCGCCTCTTATGACACCCACGGGATGACAGCAACGCCACTATACGATACAATAATACCTACTCATACAGGTACAAGTACTATACGATACAATAATACCTACCAGGTACAAGTACTATACGATACAATAATACCTACTCATACAGGTACAAGTACTATACGATACAATAATACCTACTCATACAGGTACAAGTACTATACGATACAATAATACCTACCCATACAGGTACAAGTACTATACGATACAATAATACCTACTCATACAGGTACAAGTACTATACGATACAATAATACCTACCCATACAGGTACAAGTACTATACGATAATACTCATACAGGTACCAGTACTATACGATACAATATCTAGGGTATTGATAATAATACCTACAGGAAGTATAGATAATATACCTACTCATACAGGTACAAGTACTAGTATCAGGTAAAGTACTATACGATACAATAATACCTACTCATACAGGTACAAGTATATAGATACAATAATCTCTACAGGTACAAGTACTATACGATACAATAATACCTACTCATACAGGTACAAGTACTATACGATACAATAATACCTACCATACAGGTACAAGTACACGATATCTCATACAGGTACAAGTACTATACGATACAATAATACCTACCCATAAGGTACAGTATCATACAGGTCAAGTACTATAGATATATACAACTCAGGTCAAGTACTTGCTATTTATCGAGAATGTTTCTATAGTTTTAAGTTTTAACCCGTTGCAATCCATTATTGGAGCGCGGAATAGTTATCATTTGCGGATTTCTCTTTGAAAAATTCCCCCATATGTGCAAGCATTTCCATTCGAGAACGTGAAGCTTGAGTGTCGCGCTCGAACACGTTGATTTCATAACACAGCACTGCCTGAAACAAGAGGGCGGCGTGAGAGGCGCGCCTGCTCACTAGGGCTGCCACTTGCTGATCATTTTACTTAATTTAATTTACTTGGGTATTTCTCCTTATTATTTATTTAAAATATTTTATAAGATTCATCATCATTACCTGATCCGATCTGTTGATCTATGCCAGTTAATCTAGTTCTTTTGCGGAGAGACAGTTGTGAAGGGCCAGGTCTCAGATCCATATGTCATTGCGGCGGCGCTGTCGTCGTGCCACAAGCGACATTGAAGCCTAAATCACGCTATCAAAGTTCTGAAGTACTGCGTAATATATAGAACAGCTCTGTACAAACACGGGGAAGATTGGCCACTCCTCGGGCTAAACATCTTGCCCGACGGGAGATCTCTTTTCCTTTTACGGCCAAATCACTACTGTGGACACGCACTGGTTGTTTAAACTTTTGTTTTCAAGTTTTGAGGAATACGTGACGATAAGATATGTCTTTATCTCCTGACCAATGTAGATTAGGATTATAACATTAGGTTAAATATTACAGAATTTAAGTGGCAGTTTGCCCTAGAAACTTAACTCTTTAACAAGATTTGAATTGTCAAACGAACTAGCAGTCCACCTGATGGTGTACAGAAATAGTGAAAGAAGGTAGTACCCACACAGACTGACTAGGTACTGTTTATAATCTTTACCACCTATAACCTTTTACTTTTATGTTTAAAATCTAAGTAACCCATATATGATACTAAGTGCAAGCTCCGTCCCGATTCTAACGGAGTTATAGAGCCGTAAAGAGTTCACCCCGCTACTGCAATGCGAACATCATTATGATCATTTCACAAGTCCATTGCTGAACAAAGGCCTTACCCAAGCAATGCAAAGCAATAAAGAAATTTTTATTTTTTTATAAATGCAGATTTTAACATTTAAAATTGCAACAAATTAAAATAATTATAATCTAAATAAGCTTTATTACCCACTATTTGCAATTAGTCATCATAAAAATGAGCTGTACACAACGCCTATAAACTAATATAGCCGTTGTGAATTTGATTAAGTAAAGATAAAAATATTAAATGAAAGTAAAAATAATATGGTTTTGAGGCAGCCCTAGAGTGAAGTGCAGCAGCAAGTACGTTAGCGAGGTGTTGGCAATGTCGGGTAGCGTGCTTGGTGGCGGGCGGGGCCGCACCACCCTTGTCGCTCGGCTGAACGCATCGCGCCGCCAGGGTTGATAGGCACTGACAACTTTATTCGAAACCTATTATTACACACAGCGTGCACGGTATTTCGACGGAATTGCGAGATTCACTTGCCTCACTTTATTAGTAAAATTTGCACAAACACACACACACACGTACTTGTTATGTATGCTTGTGAATTTTGGTTTTTTGTGAAAAAAACGATTTCCTATAATTTTTAAAAAAAATCCAAAATACCCCAAAAAAAAAAAACACCTGGTTAGTTTTTTTTTAGTGAAAATAATATATTTTAAAAAAAAAAAAAATATATTTTTTTGGTGGTTGTTTGGGTTTTTTTTTTAGTTTGTGTGGTATTTGTTTTTTTTTCGGTTTTAGTTGTTTTTTTTTATTTTTTTTTTTTATTTTATAGGTTTAAATCTTTTAAACAAACTTATCATTAAATTCTAATCTAAAATCTTACTGTGTGTCTTTGTTCAACTGTCAATATATAAACATTATAATCCAAAAGAACGCGTCCTACAATAATATAAGTAGATACATATGTTACAAAAGCTACAGCATCACTTTAACAAGTTCCTACTTTATAGCGGTACTGCGATTTTCTTGTGTCAATTTTTTCATCACGTTCTTCGTGTTATGTTCATCAACTTTTGTTAACAGTCCTCTACATAACATGTACGGTCTCTATTGTAAAAAGGAACCAGCCGCTACCGCCCCTCCTACGGCGTATTGGTAATCACAATACCAGTTGTCTCACACCTTGGACGCTCGTATCTGCGCAAAATATTATCGTAATTTACCAAGCAGTGGCTTCTTGATCCTCGCTTCACTTACTAAACGTGACTGATACTCATAATTTAAAGAGACTTATAGTATTTTTAAATAATTAAAGAGGCCTACAGCTGAGTTAATTACATATAAACACTTTAAATTGTTATTTTAAACGCGATATTAAGATGTGACATAAAACTTTTTAAAAACTAAAAGGCCTATCGTTAAAACATAATTTGTTATCAGTCATGCACTTACAAACTGTGACAATGTTATGAATAAAATATGGTTGTCAAACGAGCAAACGATCCGCCTGGTAGTGGTAATTTAATGCTGCGGCCCATAGTCTCCTATGCTCCTAATAAGAATCAATTAATGCAGATGCGTTGTCACCCCTGGTTGATATTTCATGCTATATTTAAGTATATATATATGTCTAATACTATTAGATTCACAAACAAGTTTTACATTTATAATCGTCACAAACGTGGCTAAAAGTTTTAACACTTACATCTAAAAGCCATAAATTTACAACCCTAGACGTGACATCGCGACGCTCGCTCGTACTACGAGCGCAATGCATGCGAATCAATACAGCGCACTGTCACCTCCTAACACTGTCTCAGTGTCTGTAGTCTAACCTACTTTGCGAAATTCTTATATCTCTGCTATAGTCAGTATGTCACGCTTTAATGTCTAAACTGCGCTCGTTAGCATCGTCGAAAACGTAGCAAGCCTAGTTTTACCAGCCATTATCAACTCTCTTGTCTGTATTTAAGGTCAGTGTAGAATCTACAAGTTTTAAGGGTTCCATCGACAAAAACTTTTGAGGAATGTTGGTCTACCAAATGGAATGTTCGAATATTTTGTGTGTAAGTTCTAAAATAACTTCTTGATAGGTTTCGAGCCTCTTAAAACAATGAAAGCATATTTAATCGAACTGTGAACTGTGCGTGATCTTTAACTTTTTTCGTTCTGAAATATATATATATATATATATATATATATATATATATATATATATATATATATATATATATATATATATACATATATATACATATACATTATTAATAAATTGGTAGTTTAAAAGTAGTAATAATTAATTTTTAAATAAAGGATGAACGTTTCGAAAACACGTTTGGAATTGCAGTGTGACCCCGATACGTAGTCATTCACAGTCGTCTCACGGAGCAGTGGATCTGTGCAAACAGGCGGCTGGGTAATGCACGGACCACGGACGTCTTACAATTCGATGAGGGAGCAGGGAGAAGGGCGCTGTAATAAAGTTTACACAAACCGTCTCGGAGGGGGCGTTAAGTTACATGGTGCGTTCTCCTCGCCCGTTTGTC